TATGCATGGAAATAGCCAACTCTAGTTCCAATTGGGCAATGACTATAACTGCGTATGAGTCTGCTGGAGCTGCCAGGTTGGAGGTCGGTTATTAGCCCACAGATGCTGACCTCAGATGTCAACAGAGGCCCTGCTCAGGGCACAGGCAGGTCAAATGTTTCATGGCAGACAGCTACGATGAAACTTGGTTGTTATAAACATTGGAAAACTAGGAGGTCCCAGCTGTCAGTCTGATGGGCCTGAAGAACTAGGCTCTGAATGCAGACAGGGCTCTGATTGAAAGACAGACCAACACAGGTGAAGTGAGAAATACAAATAATACATGCATTTGAGTCTTTGGAAGGTTTGGAATTGCAAAATTGAGCTGAAATCTAGAGTTTTTTACTTGACTTTTAAATAAAATGTCTTATTAGTTGTTCAATATTTTAGTCTTTAGGGTCAGCCAAAAGACCGGGACACAAAATAGTTACTTCCTCACTGTGTTTTATGGGAATTGGAGCAACCCTGCAAGGCTTAAGCAGTGAAGAAAATGGCTAGGCGATAACTTATTAATTCTAAAACACAGAATACATTTAATTTGTCTTCCCAACGCTTGCTTAGAAGTTGTCATATTGTAGGGAAGGTAAGGATTTTTTTTTCCCAAAATAAACTCCATGGTTCATTGATGATTATCATTTTTCTAAGTTTGAGCGCCCAGCCCTCTTAGTCCTAATGTTACTGAATGTACTGTTTATTAGAATACATTTTTATTTTAACCGTTATGAGAGTTGGTTGTCTTTGGTCTGTCAAGATTATTAATAGTAAAGAATAATATTTTCTTTATCTCAAAAAACAACTTAAATACCTCATTCTTTTATATTTAAGCCATCCTTGTATAACCCTTTAGACCAACTTATCCTCCTGTGTACTAGAAAGCCTTTCTGCAGTTCACATGCACCGCAATGCAGCAGCTAGTAAGAAAGACAGGAGAATCTCAAAGAAAAATGTGGGGCTTTAGAGGTCTTGACCTCAGCTCTGCTGTTGTCTGGCTGAGCTATAAGAAGAGGGTTCACTAGGTGGTCAAGTAAAAATTTAGGAAATGTTGACAGTTTATCTGGACAAATATGTAAGCTTTTTAATACCAAGGTCAGAGAGGTTGAGGCTATTAATAATGTGTGACAGGTAATGGGGAGACACCAGTTATGAATACAAAAACAATGTCTGACAGAATGAAACCTAAAACCTGATGTAAATTTTCAGGGCAAATTGAGCTAATGAGGATGAGAGGAGTAATGGGTTCATAGTGTCTGCTGGGGGAGAACAGTCACTTCCTTGGTTTAACTCACATCTGGTGAAGAGATCACTACTATGAAAATACTCAATCTATCACCAAGAGAACTTTTATGAACCACTGCACTTTGGAAGTTAATGCAAACTTTTACTTCTCCTAGATTAAGAAATAAGATGCATCAGACAGCGTTATTACAGTTAGAGTAACAGCATAAAAACCTTTGGGAGAGTAGAATAAGAGTGAATGCATTGGTTTGATTTACTCATCAATAATTGGATGCTGGGACATGGCGATAAATATACGAAAACTAGGTCACATCAGTGACATGCTGTAATCAAAGCTGAAAGTAATCCAATAAAATATTAAACTGTTTTTCCTAACTGAGAGAAATTATCCTGCAGTATCTAAACTGTAGCGAAGCTTAAGCAGAGCAAGTTTTAAGATTCTTATCCCCCTTAAGCCTGTGCTCCCTCTTCCAAGGGTGCTGCAGCTGTTTTTGCAACAATAGTAAGCTTGTAGGTGACTAACTCTGAGACTGACACACACTTACAATATGTCAAGATCTTCATCTCACACAACTCTACAAGGCTATCTACTTTCTTCCAATATCCACCAACTACAGCTTTAACACCTTGCCAAAAAGTGCTCAGATAGGAAAAATACAATTTATGACCCATGATGGGTTTCGATGGGCCTTGTTTCAACAACATAAGTTGCAGCGCTGAATTATGCATTTCTCATGAAAGCCAACAAGACACTGAATTGGCCGCAGTCAATCCCATTAGCAAAACTCTGATCGTTTAAAGCTGACCACTCAATCAATTCCTCCAAAAACACCCGAAAACCAAGCAAAGCACATAAAATCTGTCCTACCTTTGCTGTTTTCTTTCATGAACAGATGTTTTCATCCAAATAAAAGTCAGTTTCTTAAATATATCAGACCAATAGTTTATTTTCAGCTAAAAGTTTTTTCTTTTCTCTGTATTACGGTACAGTAAAATGCCCATATTTGGAAACTACCTGTGTGCAAACTACAAAGACCTATGCTACTCTTGCATGTGATTCACTGGAGCTTCTGTCTATCTCAAATTGGTGCATATTATTGGATTCTGCAGAATGTGACTTCTCCTTTGCTTGTTGGATGGACACTAAAGTTGCTGCATATCTAACTAAGTTGTATTTGCAGTTTATCATATTTATTTCCTTAAGAAATAAATAAGAAGTTTTGTATATAAACATCCGTCTTTTTTTTTTTTTTTGTCAGAAGTTCGAATAATTTACTTTCAAATTTTCACTTCCACTTCATCCACCAGGACCTTTATGCCAGTTGATAACAAGATTAGCATTATAGGTAGTGTATAACTTGAGAAAAATCTTAAAAAGTATTAGTTTGCCTTTTAGGAAAATAAACCTGCAAACTTAAGAGGTTTACAAGATGGATTTTCGGTAAATATATCTTAATGTGTTCAAATGCATGCAAAGATTATTTTCTCCTACAATTTATTTCTGCCATGTTTTCAAACAGATGTTCACAATCAAGCTTAATGTAAATAAATTATTTCAAGATCATAGCATGGTCATAGCATTCTTGAGCTAGTTGAGCTATTTGGATGCCTGACCACATACATTTCGCCATATAAAATTCTTTAGTTGTATATAATAGTAGTAGTAATATTGAAATTTGCCATCCCTATAGTGATAATATATATATATATATATATATATATATATATATATATATATATATATATATATATATATATATATATATAT